CAGAGGGAAGACTGTTCAGGTGGCTCCTTAAATAGGCAGGTGGGGTGGGAGCTGGTGGAGATGGCCTAGGTTTGCCTGGGATCAGGGCAAATTGTTTACTCACAGCAGCGGGAAGGAGAGCTGGGCAGGAGTGTGGATCTGGATGCAGGTCTGCAGGTTGGAAGCGGGTGGTGGCTTTGGAAGTTATTTTTCTCCTGCTGGTTTCTATTGTCTCAGTGATACTGTCTGTTCTGACAAAATTGTTGGTAAACAGGGGAATGATGTCAGTATAAGGAGGAAATAGCAGTGGATTCTGAGCCTGTGTTTTCAGCCCCTTGACGAACACAGGAAGCCACCAGTAGGTGGCGCTGTCTCCCTGCGCTTGATGCTGATCCAGCCGTGGGTTTCTTTTTTTTTTTTTTTTTTAACTATTTAAAAGAAAATAAATTTATGTATTTATTTATTTATTTTTGGTTGGGTCTTTGTTGCTGCGCGTGGGCTTTCTCTAGTTGCGACGAGCAGGGGCTACTCTTCGTTGCGGTGCGCGGGCTTCTCATTGCGGTGGCTTCTCTTGTTGCGGAGCATGGGTTCTAGGTGCGAGGGCTTCAGTAGTTGTGGTATGTGGGCTCACTAGTTGTGGCTCCCAGGATCTAGAGCGCAGGCTCAGTAGTTGTGGCGCACGGGCTTAGTTGCTCCGTGGCATGTGGGATCTTCCCGGACCAGGGCTCAAACCTGTGTCCCCTGCATTGGCAGGCGGATTCTTAACCACTGCGCCAGCAGGGAAGCCCCTCTATTTTTATTTCTTTAAAATGTTCTTTACTTATATTGGCGTATATTTGATTTACAGTGTTGTGTTAGTTTCAGGGGTACAACAAAGTGATTCAGTTATACATATATTCAATACATATATCTATTCCTTTTCAAATTCTTTTTGTACTATTTTATAGGTTTAGGTATTCTGGACATTTCATTATAAAAGCAGTCATAAAATGTGTGACCTTTTGTCTGTCTGCTTTCACTTAGCATAATGTTCCTGAGGTTCATCCACGTTGTAGCATGTATCAGTATTTCCTTTTATGGTTGAATAATATTCCGTTTTGGGATATATCACATTTTGTTTATCCATTCACCTACTGATGGACATTTGTGTTTTTTGATCTTTTGGCTATTGTGAACAGTGCTGCTATGAACATTCATATACAAGTATTTGTTTGGGTCCCTGTTTTCAAGCCTTTGGGTATATACCTAGGAGTAGAACTGCTAGGTCAGATGATAAATCTGTTTAACTTTCTGACGAACTACCAAACGATGTTCCACAGTAATTAACCATTTTACATTCCAACCAACAACATACAAGAATTGTTCTAATTTTTCCACAACCTCACCAACAGTGATTATTTTATTTTTTGCTATATTTATGGTTATGGGTGTGAAGTGGTGTCTTGTGGTTTTGATTTAGATTTCCTTAAGACACCTTTTCATGTGCTTATCAGCTGTATATCTTCTTTGGAGGAATGTCAGTTGAAGTCCTTCGCCCATCATTAAAATTTTTTGTTGCTGTTGAGTTGTAAGTGTTTATATATTCTAAGTGCTAGACCCTTTTCAGATATATGGTTTGCAAATAGTGTCTCCCATTCTGCTGCATGTATTTTTGCATATCCCTTTTAAGTTGTATTTATTTATTTTAAATTTATTTCATTTATTTATTTTTGGCGGTGTTGGGTCTTCGTTGCCGCGCGGGCTGTGTCTAGTTGCGGCGAGTGGGGGCTACTCTTCATTGTGGTGCGCGGGCTTCTCATTGCGGTGGCTTCTCTTGTTGCAGAGCACGGGCTCTAGGCGGGTGGGCTTCAGTAGTTGTGGCTTGCGGGCTCTAGAGCACAGGCTCAGTAGTTGTGGCGCATGGGCTTAGTTGCTGCGCGGCATGTGGGATCTTCCCAGACCAGGGATTGAACCCGTGTCCCCTGCATTGGCAGGCGGATTCCCAACCACTGCGCCACCAGGGAAGTCCCTTAAGTTGTATTTATTAACAATGAAATGAGTATCTGTCACTATAGCTCACAACCTCAAAAGTTAGAACAGTGACAGTAATTTATATCTACCTGAGTGCCATCCCCCTCCCCAATTCAAAGGTAACTTGGATAAGTTCCGAATTTTGTGTTTATGTTTTCTATTTATTAAAGAAATAATTCTTCTAGATAGATGTGTATGCCTAAACAGTACATCATCTTGTTTCAGTTGCTTTTGAACTTCATAGAACGGTCAACAATTTGACATGATGGTGAGTGTTTTTCCAAAATGATTGTACCAATTTACACCCCCTCCCCCATTAATATATGTGAGGTTATCGATTCCCATCTTCTCCAATACTCGCTTTGGCCAATTTATTATTTTTTTAAATTATTATTATTATTTTTTGGCCACCCCATGTGGCATGCGGGGTTCCTCGACCAGCATCAAACCCGTGCCCCCTGCAGTGGAAGTGTGGAGTCCTAACCAGTGGACCTCCAGGGAATTCCCTGGCCAGTTTATTTTTGCCAGTTGAATGGGCTTAAAATGGTATCTCACCATCTTGCTTTACATTTTCCTGATTATCACTGAGATTTGAGTATGTCTTCATATGTTTATTGGCCATAAGTATCTTCCCTTCTGTAAGTGTCCATTGTGGTTTTTGCTCCTATTTTATTTTTAGGTCGGTTGCCCTTCTACTGAGTTGTAGGTGTACTAGGAAGATCTAGACGTATTTTTAGGGATAAAGAGGATAGGGGGGTGGTGGTGGGAGGGGCGTGTTCCAGGACAGAGGCCCTGCAAATCTCACCGACAGAGGATGCTGTCACTGTATTTTTTGCCGGGGATAGCCAGGGAGAATTGGCATTTCACTGTAGGTTCAATTTGCGCTTCGCTCAGATGGAGTGAGGCTGAGCATCTTTTTATCTGCTTCCAAGCCATTTGCACCTCTCTCCTGTGGACCACCTGCTCATCTTTGCATCCCTCGCTCCTCCTCCCCGGATCTACTTTTCCCTCTCTTCACATGTCTTCTCTCACATTTCTGTCTGAGAACCCCTTCACGCCTCGGTGTTCTTTTCCCGTTTCTCTCTCTTCTCTCCTCTCCCTTTCTTCCCTCCAGGTCTCACCATCTTCCGACATCACATCCTCCAAGCTCCTAGTCTGCTCTCTCCCCTCTCATCTCCGGCGTCTCTCCAATGCCGCCTTTTCTTCCACCTCCCCCACTGTCCCTTCTCTTTTCCTGCTTGTTTCCTGCTTCCCATGACATCTCAGCTCTTAGTCTAATTTGGTCCCTCCTCTCTCATCTTTCCAGTCCCTCTTTCCAGTGATTCTAACACCTGCCTCTTTTTAAAACATTTTTATTTTATTGAAGGAGAGTTGATTGACAATGTCGTGTTAATCTCTGCTGTACAGCAAAGTGATTCAGTGATACGTATACAGACATTCTTTTTCATATTCTTTTCCATTATGGTTTATCACAGGATATTGAATATAGTTCCCTGTGCTATACAGTAGGACCTTGTTGTTTACCCATTCTATATATAATAGCTTGCATCTGCCAATCCCAAACTCCTAATTTATCCCTCCCCCCACCTTTGGTAACGATAGGTTTGTTTTTCTATGTCTGTGGTCTCTTACTGTTTTGTAGATAAGTTCATTTCTACCCTTGTTTTTAGATTCTACATGTAAGTGATACTGTATGATATTTGTCTTTTTCTTAGTTACTTCACTTCATACGATGACCTCTAGGTCCATGCACGTGGCTGCAAATGGCATTCATTACTCCTTTTTTATGGCTGAGTAATATTCCATTGTATATATGTACCACATCTTTATCCATTCATCTGTTGATGGACATTTAGGTCGTTTCCACGTCTTGGCTATTGTGAATAGTGCTGCTATGAACGTAGGGGTGCATGTATCTTTTTGAATTAGAGTTTTGTCCAGATATATGCCCAGGAGTGGGGTTGCAGGATCATATGTAACACCCTCCTCTCCCTCCATCCTTGTTTCTCAGTGGAGACACAGCAGGGACCTTTCTCCTCTCTGACATCTCTCCCCACTCCCATCCTTTCCTCTGTTGAGAAGCACAGGTGAGACTCGTCCCCCCCACCCTTTCTCTCTCTTCTCTGACTCCTGTCTCTGGTGTTCCCCTGAAGGCAGCACATTCTGGCCCTGCGTGGGACCTTGTGGCAGTGATTTCTGGGGTGCGTGGGGGGCACCCTCCTGCAGAGCTCCTGAGGAGACAGTGAAATCACCCGGCTGAACCCTTGGGAAGCCTGCAGGAAGTTGCCCTCCCACGAAGCCCTATTTCACTGTCTCCAGGGAGGTCCTGGGGACCTTGAGGACGGGGATCTGCCAGGCTTGAGCAGGGGCTGCAGGAACAGGTGCGAGTCTCCCCTTTGCCCTTCTGTTTGGACCTGTGTGACTTTGGGCAAAGGACTCCACCTGTCTGAGCCCAGCACCTGCTCATCTGTATGCAAGGTCTGTGAGTAGCTGACCAAGGGCTGCCCTGGGGTGGAAGGAGGTAGCTTGGCTGAGGCTCTGGCTGGGAGTCGGGGACTCACCCAAGGGGGTCCCCACGCGCTGCTCGCTGTCTGGGTCCCCTGGGGGTGGGCATGTGTCTTGGGGTGGCAGTGAGTGACCCGTTGGTGAGGTATGTAAGTCCTGGCTGCCTTGGGGCCTCTGGGGATAGATGAGGAGCTGTGACAGGGACACAAGCTCTCAGGCAGAGAAGTTGGCTCCGGTCAAGTTTTATTGGACCCCCTTTCAGCCTGGGGCTCTTCACAGTTGCCAGGCTGCCTGTACCCCTCTCTCCCCTGGCCGCAGCTCTGTCCATTTGCCTGAGGGAAGGAGGGAGGGTGGGCAGAAGGAAGGGGCTGGAGACAGATCATCAGCCCCTGGGGTGGGGGCCTCCATGTCTCCACAGAATCGGCCCAAGGGTCCCCAGTCCAGCCGCCCCACGAATCCGAGCTGCCGGGCGCTGGGGCAGCCCCTTGTGGTCAGTCCTCGGCCGGCTACGTGGCTGATGTGTGCCCGTTGGCCATCTGCCTAGCTGCCCGGCTCCGAGGGCCATCGGTGGGAGCTGCTCCCGGCCGGTGAGCCGCCCTGTTCTTCAGCCGCGGGTACTCCTGGGCTGCCTCCCCATCGCTGGAGTCTGACTCTTCCACGTCGCTGCGAACATCTTTCTCCATCTGGGGAGCAGGGAGAAGGGAGGAGGCGTGGGGCGGGGCTGGGCTGGGCTGGGCTGGGCTGGGCGGGGCTGGGCTGGGGGCTCCAGGGAGGCACAAGCTAGCCAACCCTCGCCTGGCCCTACCTTGGGCTGGGCGGGGCTGGGCTGGGGGCTCCAGGGAGGCACAAGCTAGCCAACCCTCGCCTGGCCCTACCTGGTCTTTCTTTTTTTAAAAATCATTTTATATGTATTTACTTATTTATTTTATTTATAAAAGGTTTTGGGCTACGTACAGGGCACGTGGGATCTTAGTTATCCAACCAGGGAATGAACCCACACCCCCTGCATTGACCAGGCGGAGTCTTAACCACTGGACCGCCTACCTGGCCTTTCTTTATGAAGCTGCAGATCATGCGAAGGATGAGGCAAGACCAGAACACGTGCAGCAGCTGTAGCGCCATCAGAAGCGCATTGAAGAAGTAGTAGCCGAAGAAGGGGCCCGAGTTGGCCACGGACTCGTAGTATGTGGTATAGAGGATCCTACGGTGGGTGGGCCGGGGCGAGAGAGGCAGGGCTTCACTGGCTGCTGTTGCCCCCAGTCCTAGGAATCTCTAACTTGTGAGACCTTCCCTGCTCCACAACCTTCTATGGCTCCCCATTACCCACCCCCAAAGAATGATACCTGTGCCCTTCAGCTGGGCATTTAAGCACCCCCCCCACTCACCTGGTTATGTTAAATTCAAAGAATGAACAAGCTGGACAACTGGCCGGTCGTGACTGTAAACCCCAAGGGGGGTGCTTAGTGTCCCAGCAGCTCTCCTGGGTGGTCCTTTCACACCTTCTCAGATCCCTCCCCCTTCCCTCCCGCTACCACCTTCACCCAGATCAGCTGTAGGGTCATCAGTGAGCCGCCTTGATCAGACAGCAGGCACCCAGCTGGCCCTCCGTCCCCCTCATGTTCTTTCCTCACGTGCCTTCAAGGACCCACACCCCCATGCCCCCACTGCATGGCTTCTCCCTCTCCATCTCCTCTGCAGGCTGCGCCGACCTGCAAACATCAGGGCGCCCCAGGACTGGGCCTCTCTGTCCACACCTGGTCTTCGGTGACCCTGTCCAGTCTCGCGACTGCAAACACTGGACACGGACGTCTCTCCCAGAACCCCAGGCTGGTGTCCACTGCTTCCTCCACTTTTCGGTGGTGGTGCCTGAGGGGCGTGTTGCAGACCCCTCAAACCCGGTGCAGCCAGAGCTAAGCTCCTGATCCTCAAGCAGTAACTCTGAGCACGTTCCCATCTCATGACCCTTGAGTCATCCCCCTGAGTCCACCCACTTCTCTCGACTGCATTGGTCGAGCCCTAACATTGCCCACCCGGACCAGTGCTGTCGCCTTCGCCCTGGTCCCCCAGCTCCTGCTCCAACCTCTTACCAGCTATTCCCCCAGGAGCCACCAGAGGGAGCCCGTGAGTACTCGAGTCAGGTCCCACCCATCTTCTGCTCAGAACCCTCCAGGACTCCCACCTGGCTTGGGATAAAAGCCCAACTTCTCCCCAAGGCCTGTAAGACCTTGCATACTCTCTCCCGTCAGCTCTGTGCTCTCCCCTCCCTCTCTCCCTCTTGCTCACTCTGGTCCTGCCACACGGGCCTCCTCTCTGTTCCTCCGACATGCTGGGCACGGTCCTGCCTCAGGGCCTTTGCACGTGCTCTTCCCCCTGTGATCAGTAGTTTTCTCCCTCACCTCCCTCCAGTCTCTATATGAACGCTGTCAGTGAGGCCTTCTCCGACCACTCTATTTCCAGCTATCCACACAGTTCCTGTGGCCTTCCCAACTCTTTTTCTCTTTAGCACGATCACTGCCTCACATATTCTATAGTCTACTTGTTTGCCTTATTATATTTCCCCACCTGCCAGTGTCAGCTCCAGGTGAGCAGGGACCTTCACGTTGTTCCCTCTGCTTGTTGCAACAGGCTCATCGAATTGCCGGGCAAAGACTTTAGCGAGTGGGGCCCTACGCCGTCTCCCAACCCATGTTCCAGGCACACGGCAGGGGATGATGACTAAGCCCAGTTTTCTGTTTCTCCTACCTCTGGGCCTTTGCATATGCTGCGCCCTGTGCCGGGAACACCCTTCCTTGCCTCCTGGAAACCTCCCAGCCAACACCCCGGCTATCTGGATCGCGGAACCCGGGAACCGAGGAACTGAGGGTGAGGCGGGCTTGGATCTCCGCCGCACCGCCGCCCCCCACCTCCCCAACCCCCGGCGGGAGGGCTGACTCACTGGGTGGGGAAGAGCACGAGGCGGGTGTAGAAGAAGACCACCGAGAAGATGATGAAGAGAGCGTCGCACACGCGCCGCCAGTGCGTGTAGTTGAACAACTTACAGGCCTGGAGGGGACAGCAGAGAGAAATGGACCTGGGGGTGGGGCTGCGGCGGAAGCACGCGGGAAGGGCGGGGAGGGGCCGAGAAAGGGCGGGGCCTCCTCCCAGGGAAAAGGTGCCTCTGCCTGGGCCAGGTGAGTGGGGGTGCGTGGTCTGCGGATGATGGGGGTGGGGCCTCACCTCCCAGGAAGACTGACAGGGGGTGGGCCTCAACACCAGGGGCACCTGGGAGGGCGGGGGGCGGGGGGCTGGGAGGGGTCGGGCTGCGCCAGGCGCACCTCCAGCAGGTAGTCGGAGGAGTCGTGCAATAGCAGCACCAGAGAGCCGATGCGCAGCAGATTCGTGCTGTAGGAGAAGACGATCAGGGTGATGGTCACAAAGTGATGTGCCACCTGCTCCTTGAAATCCTGCGGGAGACGGAGGGTCATAGCCGGGATGAGGCTGGGGGGCCGGAGGGGCCCCACCCCGCAGGGCTGGGAGCAGGCCCTCCCAGGGGGTTGCTTGGCGTGTGGACCCTACGCCTCCCGCCTGAGACACCAAGGGTCTCGGGGTGTGGGGTGAGGCCACCCCTCTCCTCCTGGAACTGGGTCACGACCGCCCCAGGCCAGACTCTTGGCCGGGCCTCACCTTGCGCTTGGTGTCGAAGGGCAGCGTGATCAGCAGAGAGATGTAGAAACTCAGCTCCAGGAGATACCAGTGGTACAGGGCCGGCTTCAGGGGCTGCGGCAGGGAGTGCAGGGTTAGCTGTGGGGAGTGGAGACTCCCACGGGACATGGGGCGTGGGGCGTGGGGCGTGGGGCAGGGCCCTCCCCATTTGCTCAAACCCATGACACATGAATCCCAATGAGTGAGGAAGGCATGAGCTCCCCATCCTTAGAGGTAATCAAGGGCAGTGGTTTTGTGGCAGCTCCTGCTTCCAGTGTGTCCTGACTCCTGGCCCCTCTCCATTCCACACGGGAGCCAAAGAATAGAGTGGGATTCAGGGCGGGAATGATGGTGTGATGTCCAGCTTTGGCGTTCTTGCCTGGGGCCACAGGAACTCTGCCCTGATCCTCCCACTAGCCTCCAAACACCACCCCTCCCACTCACCTGCTGTGGGTAACTGTCCCAGCACATTACCGGCGTCCACAGCCACGATTCCTGCAGGGACACGGGAGTCTGCAGTTGTCCAGAGGTTAGAACCCAGCTCCCCCAACCCCCCAACCCCAGGCCTGGGGCCTCCTCAGGCCTCCCTGGCCCTTGACATGCTGCTGTCACTCAGGCCGGCTGTTTCCTGCCTGCTTGCAACTCTGCTCTCACTGTAGACCAGGGGCTGATTCAGAATCCCCAGCCCTGACACACAGCAGGTCCTCTCCATAGGCACCCATGGAGTGAACATTCACCACGACCCGGCCTCATTCCTTCCACCCTCCCCCCTCTCTGTGCCTTGGCACATGTTTCCCCCTCTGCCCGAACCCCACACACCCCTTCCCAGTCCAATCCAGGCCCAGAGCATACTAGGTGCTTGAGGGATAGGGCAGGTGAGCTGTCAGGTACACTCACGTGGTAAAGAACCGAGATTCCACCGATGAAGGAGCACAGATAGAAGGCGAACCTCCAGCTGCAGGTGGGAAGGGAGCCCCTGAGGCAGCTGCCCGAGGAACAGACCCCCCGCCGCACCCCCAGACTCCCCCTTCCCGGCCCCACCCTGGGCTTACCTGGCCTCACAGAACTTCTTGGTCAGGCAGGGCCGGTCCTGGTTCCGGCGTCTCCGGAACCAGTGTTGGGTCTGTCGCAGGGTGAGCCCACACTGGGTCGCCAGGAGGCTCATCTGGGGCTGGGGAGGGAGTGATGGGGGCCAGGGTCACAGAGGTGGCCTCCTGCCCCTGTCCCAGGACAGGCGGGACCCAGCTCTGCTCCCCGCCCTCCCCTATAGCCCCAGACCTCGCCTGTGGGGTGCTCTACCTTTGGGGATGGGGGAGTAGGGGGTTTCACAGGGTGGGGGTCTCCCCAAAAAGAGGCCTTATAAAAACCCAGCCCTGCCTACAGACAACCCCTCTAGAACCTCCCCCAGGGTACCCAAGCAGGCCAATGGGGAGGGAGGAGGGAGGGGGTCGGGGATCTCACCTCTGTGGGTCTCTGCCCTTCCATAAGGAAGTGTTTCTCCAGCGTGGCATTGGGCTTCACCGGCCTCCTGGTCTGGTTCCGCACACCCAGCCACCGGCTCAGGGGCAGGCCTATGAATCTGGGTGTAGGGGAGACACAGCCTGTCAGTCCAGGTGGGGAAACGAGGGCTCACTGGGCCGCATTTTAGGACCCTGGAGGCGGTAGCCTGGCTGTTGCATTGCGCCCAACCTAAGAGAGGAAGCTGGATTGGTCTTCAGGGTGGGGGATGAACAACAACTTTGGTGGTACCAGGCACCTTCACTCCATCCCAAACCAGGGATGAGAGTCCCCTCGATGCCTGTCTCATGATGGCCTGGGTCCTGATCTGCCCCTCTACCAGGCTGGGGGCCCCCCCGCATGGGCAGAAGCAGGTCTGCTTCTTCTCAGGCCTCCCTCCACCCAGCATCCCCCCCTCCCTTGTGCACACCTGTTGGAGCCGGGACCCTGGTGAGTCAATTACCACATTGCCCACAGGGGGGCCCTCAAGACCAGGGGTCGGGACCAAACTGCATGTCCACCATCCTAATATCACCTTTCACTGGGGGAAACTGAGGCTCAGAGCAGCCCAGCAAGGAAATTATTCCAGACTCAACTGTGTTGGGGGGCAGGCGGGGGTGGGGTTGGGACATGACAGCCATTTACTGAACACTTAGGATCTGCCAAGCATGTGTCCAAGTCCACCTCATGTGCTGGCTCACTTAACACTATTATTGTCCCCATTGTCCTGATGGGCAAACTGAGGCTCAGAGAGGCCAGAAACACGCTCAAGGTGACACAGCAAGTGAATGGCAAACGCAGGATTCATTTTCCCTTAACAGGGAAAACCTCTGCCTTTGTTTGACCCCAGAAAAGCTACTTCCAACCCCATTGCCCTTTAGAAAGGCAAGGGATGCCTTTGGGAGGAGTTAACACTGCCACCTCAGCTGGAGCCACTGGCTAAATAGGTGGGAAAATAGACCCAGCCTTCAAGGCCTGGCTGGATTGGGCCTCCCAGAATCCCTCAGGCAAAGCCTCGATCCTCGCTGAACTACCTGCTGTGTGACCTCAGGCAGGTCATTTGACCTCTCTGTGCCTCCATTTCCTCTTCTGTAAAATGGGGATAATAACAGTACCACCTCACTGGGTGAGGGCTGAGTTAAGACAAACAAACTGCTTAGAGCAATGGGTGGCACAGAGGAGGAACCCAAAGAGTGTCTGGTAAATACAGTGTCAGTGGACATGCCCTGGGTTCCCCATGTCCAGCCTGTGTCCTGGGAGCCCAGATCCTAGGAAGCTCCTCATGAGTGGGAGAGTGAAGAACCTAGGGGTAAGACAGGAATAAAGACACAGACCTACTGGAGAACGGACTTGAGGATATGGGGAGGGGGAAGGGTGAGCTGTGACAAAGCGAGAGGCATGGACATATATACACTACCAAACGTAAGGTAGATAGCTAGTGGGAAGCAGCCGCATAGCACAGGGATATCAGCTCGGGTGCTTTGTGACTGCCTGGAGGGGTGGGATAGGGAGGGTGGGAGGGAGGGAGACGCAAGAGGGAAGAGATATGGGAACATATGTATATGTATAACTGATTCACTTTATTATAAAGCAGAAACTAACACACCATTGTAAAGCAATTATACCCCAATAAAGATGTTAAAAAAAAAAAAAGCAAAGCTCCCACGTCCCTGTGGTCAAAGAGTGGGACAGAGGGAAGGACCCGAAGTGAGGGCCAGAGGGGGTTAAGGGCTTTGTGGCGAGTCAGGGCAGGCTTCCCTGGAACCCAGCCTTGAAGGAACTGCAGGGGAGTGAGTGCAAAGGCCAGGGGGTCGCAAACAAGGTGGGGGACCTGAAAGGACATGTGAGATGTGGAGGAAGGGGAGGGGGAGGGGCCCTCAGGCATGGAGGGGGAAGCCGGGGGAAGGGGGGCAGGCCTGGTACCGGTAGGCCATGGGGGCAAGGCAGGTCTGGGAGCTGTGGCCGCAGCATTAGTCAGGTAGAAAAGGGTGGGACCACCTAGGTCAGAGGGAAGGGACCCAAGAGATGGACAGCCAGAGAAGGAGGAGGAACTCCAATTTGGGGCAGCGTTTGGGTCACATGAGAAATGACTAAAAATCCACGGGGTCTGGCAACCAGGAGGGCGCTGGGAACCTGGGCAGGCGGCATATACTCGGGGGCTGGGTGCCAGGCTGCAGGAGGCTGGGGGTGAGTGGAGGGGGGCCCCAAAGAGGGGGGGCTGGAGTGCCTATGCCCCTTCCTTTGGCTAGAAAGGGGAGCAGGAGAAAAAGGTGGTAAGGGAGAGGTGCCCAAACAGGACAGAGGGAGGAGGGAGTGGGCAGGAGTTTCTTCGCTTACTCACTGGCCTCTGCAGACCCATCCTAGGTCAGCAAAGCAGGCACATCCCCTCCAGGGCCCCCACTTGTTTTCTGGAGATGCTGGCACACACAGACCTGAGCTGCAGCCAGCATTCCAGGCATCAGAGACCATCGGAGTGGGGGTGGCGGCAGCTGGGGGCAGGATGAAGCCCAAAAAAGCACTCTGACTCAAAGCCAGGCTCCGTCCAGGGACACATGAGGATGAAGTCACACAGATGGGAGAGCACAGGGCGGGTGCTGCGCACACACGAGCGATGACGGGGTCAACCTGCCAGGGCACAGCGGACACTCACCTCTCGAAGGTGAAGCGCACGGCCACCAGGGCCAGAGCCAGGGGTAGGGCCAGCAGCATGTCCTGGGGGTGAGCGTAGACCAGGCCATCGCGGTCCTCCAGTACAGCCCATGAGTTGTTGGGTGGTAGCCAGAACCTCTCCTGCCACAGCCACTCATTCAGGCTGGACCACATACTGTGGACACAGGGTCCAGTTAATGGAGAACTCTGCACACAGGACGGGTAGAGTGGGAGGGCCCAGCACCTCGCCCTCACACCCCCCAGCGCCTAGCAGCCTGAAGTTTATTAGAGCCAGTGTTAAGGATAGACTTGGGCTGGGTGTCCTCAGGCAAATAACCTGACCTCTCTGAATCTCAAGTTCATCTGTAAAATAGGGACAGTAATACCCACCTCTCAGCCCAGCCTGATACGGCACACAAAGTGCTTAGCCCAGTGCTTACTGACCCTTAAGTATAGCTCATGACAATAGTTATTATTCTGTACTCTACCGACATGAGAACAGCGGCCAGAATCAAGGGAGTGGCTGAGCGGGGTCACGAACTTGAGTTCTCAAAATGTCCGGGAAGGTTTTCTGCCACTGTGGGAAGGTGCCTCTGATACAGCCCAAAGATGAAGGATTTCAGGAAATCCACAATTCTCTCCCTGGCCATCCATCCACACATGGACTCCCCTTGAGGTGTGAATGTCGGCTAACTCGCTCGCTATCCCAAGAGCCCGGCTGCAGCTGGGCGAGACAGCCTACTGCGTGATCGAGCTTGCTGCCAGATACTGAAGCAGTGGTCGAGGTGGGCCAACTTTCCACCAAGAGCTGCTGGGGAGCTGCAGTGGGGCCCAGCTGTCCTGATGAGCCCAAATAGCTTCTCCTGTTCCCAAGATTTAAGACTAAGTGCCCCAACCCCACACTGGTCCTCACTTGCAAAGTCTGTTCATTCATTTGTTTGTCTGTCCATCCATCCATCCACCTACCCACCCATAGTCCATCTACTCATCTGTTCATCAGTCCACCTATTCATCTGTTCATCCATTCAGCCATACCGTCTGCTTGCCCACCTGTACACCTACCCAGCCAGCCAGCCAGCCAGGCTGCCATCTATCCACCCACCCACCTACCTGTCCATCTTTCCATCCATCCATCCGCCTATCCATACATCCATCTACCCACCTGTCTGTCTACCTGTCCGTCCATCCATCCATCCACCCACCCACTGTCCATCTACTCATCCATCCAACCATCCGTCCATCCATCCACCTATTCATCTGTTCATCCACCCACCCATCCACTCATCCATCCATCCATCCACGAGATATTCTCTGAGTGGCTTGTACATGCCAGCCTGGGGCTGGATGTTGGGGACACAGGCAGGGAACAAAGCAGACACATTCCTGTCACCATGAAGCTCACAGCCCAGCAGGGGGAGGCAACCAATACACAAGAAAACGGATTCATAAATAAATAACACAATGTGATGGGCCTGGTAGAAAATAAACAGGGTGGTGCGATTTATCAAGGAAGGTCTGAGCTAGGTCTCAGCTCATACACCATCTGAGCTGAGACCTAGAGATGAGGAGGGCCTGGGTTTGTGCAGAAGAAAGCAGTGGTGCTGGGAGGGGGGCTGGGAGGGGCTTTCCAGAGAAATGAGCAGTAGGTACAAAGGCCCTGAGGCAGGACTGAGTAAAACTGAGTGTTGGAGGACCAGTGAGGATTCCTGTGTGCCTGGAGCAGAGAGCAAGGGGAGAGCGGGGGAAGGGGACGGGGCAGGTCATGCAGGGCCTGTGGAATTTGGATGATTTCCTGCAACATTTTATGATGAAAAACTTCAAACCTACAGAAAAGGTGAATTTACAGTGAACATCTGTATACCCACCACCAGACTCTCCCATTCACGTTTTGGTCTATTGCTTCATCACACATCTGCCCATGTATCCATCCATCCCTCTATCCACCCACCAGTGCATTTCTTGGTGCATTTCAAAATAAGCAGCTGGGGTGGGGGGAGGGATAAATTAGGAGTTTGGGATTAAAATATACACCCTATTATATATAAAATAGATAATCAACAAGGACCTACTGTATAGCACAGGGAACTATACTCAATATCTATTTTGTTTTTGTTTTTGTTTTTGTTTTTGTTTTTGCGGTACGTGGGCCTCTCACTGTTGTGGCCTCTCCCATTGCAGAGCACAGGCTCCGGACGTGCAGGCTCAGCGGCCATGGCTCACGGGCCCAGCCGCTCCGCGGCATGTGGGATCTTCCCGGACCGGGGCACGAACCCGTGTCCCCTGCATCGGCAGGCGGACTCTCAACCACTGCGCCACCAGGGAAGCCCCCTATATTCAATATCTTGTAATAACCTATAATGGAAAAGAATCTAAAAAATAAATATATATATGTGTGTATATATATGTATAACTGAATCACTTTGCTGTACACCTGAAACTAACACAACATTGTACATCAATTATATTTCAAGAAAAATTTTTTAAAAAGCAGCAGACATCAAGTCACATCACCCCTAAATATTTTCAGCGTGCGGATCATTAACTAGAGTTCGATATTGACTTAACGTGTATTTTTTTCTTTCAAGGTAAAATTTACTAGAGCAAAATGCATTCATGTTAACTGTAAAGTTGCTGAGTTTTGACAAATACACGCATCTGTGTAAACCAACCTCCGGCCACAAACACTCCCATACCGCCACAAGGTTCTCTCTTGGGCCCCTTCCCAGTCAGCCTCCATCTCTACTGTCCAAAGGTAACGTCTGCTCCAGTTTTTTTTTCCATCAGGGATTACTTTTGTCTGTTCCAGAACTTCATATAAATGGAATCACAAACCCTGTCTTTGTGTCTAGCTTCTTTCACTTGTGTAATATTTTCGAGATTCATCCCTATTGTTCCAAGATCAGTAGCTTCCTTCTTTCTTTCTTTCTTTCTTTTTTTAATATTTATTTATTTATTTGGCTGCGCCGGGTCTTAGTTGCGGCATGCGGGCTTCTCTCTAGTTGTGGTGTGTGGGCTCTAGAGCGCACACACTGGTGCTCAGTAGTTGTGGCATGCGGGCTTAGTTGCCCTGCAGCAGGTGGGATATTAGTTCCCCGACCAGGGATCAAAGCTGTGACCCCTGCATTGGAAGGTGGATTCTTAACCACTGGACCACCAGGGAAGTCCCGAGCTTCTTTTTTTCTCATTCCCGAATCTTTGGTACCAAATGAATATACCACGATTGGTTATCATTTGCTTGTTGATGGGTATTTGGGATGCATTCAGCGTTGGGGAATTATGAGCAAAGCTGTTCAGAGCATTCACATCTGAGTCTTGTGTGAACAGAAGTTCTCCTGTCTCTGGGTCCATCCGGAGAAGTGGAATTGCTGGGTCATTCTGCATCTTTTCCTTCATAAGCAACTGCCAAACTGTGTTCTGGGGTGGCTGTACCATTTTACACTCCATTTCGTGCAGTCTGGGAGTTCAATGGCCCGTGTTTTTATTTTAGGTGAGATGGCAAGCGGGGTGGGGGGGGGTGTTGGTTGCCATACAGGAAGTGGCCTTGGAGGCCAGAATGGGGGCACACCCAGATAATCCAAGATCGTTCCCCCATCTCAAGGTCAGCCGATTAGCAACCTAATTCCATCTGCAATCTCACTTTCCCTTTGCCACGTTAGGTAGCGTATACCCAGGTTCCAGGATTAGGATGTGGACACCATTAAGGGGGCATTATTATTGAGAAAATTCACTGAGTTGTGCATCTATGTTGTGGGCCCTTTCTCTGTGCAGATTAAAATGTTTGCCTTGGGGCTTCCCTGGTGGCGCAGTGGTTGAGAATCTGCCTGCTAATGCAGGGGACACGGGTTCGAGCCCTGGTCTGGGAGGATCCCACATGCCGTGGAGCAACTAGGCCCGTGAGCCACAACTACTGAGCCTGCGCGTCTGGAGCCTGCGCTCCGCAACATCAGAGCCCGCGACAGTGAGAGGCCCGCGCACCGTGATGAAGAGTGGCCCCCACTCGCCACAACTAGAGAAAGCCCTCACGCAGAAACGAAGACCCAACACAGCAAAAATAAATAAATTAATAAACTCCAATCCCTCAAAAAAAAAAAAAAGTTTGCCTTGAAAAAGTCTATGATTCTGCTAAAATATGACACAAATGAACTCATCTATGAAACACTCACAGACATAGAGAACAGGCTTGTGGTTGCCAAGGGGAGGCGGGGTGGGGGAGGGATGGAGTGGGAGTTTGGGGTTAGCAGATACAAACTATTACATATAGAATGGATAAACAACAAGGTGCTACTGAATAGCACAGGGAACTATATTCAATGTCCTGTGATAAACCATAATGGAAGAGAATATGAAAAAGAATGTGTGTGTATATATATATAACTGGATCACTTTGCTGTACAGCAGAAACTGACAAAACATTGTAAAGCAACTATACCTCAATAAAATACGTTAAAAAAAAAGTCGATGATTCTGATTTCAATTCCGACAGGTGGGTTTTTTCCCCCATACCACCTCTGACACCAGCTGTGTATGCTACAATTCAACTCAACTCTGACACCATCTACCTGGAGATACACCGGTTGAGGGCTCAGTCGCACAAGGCTGTACCCATCCCACTTCAGACACCAAGCTTCTGACCAACTGGCCATAGATGGAGGTCCCCACGAGCCCTCCTTGGTTTGATTAATTTTCTACAGCAGCTCACAGGACACAAACAGTTTACTTCCTAGATGACCGATTTATTATAAAAGGCTATATAACTCTGGAATAGCCAGATGGAAAGAATCATAGGGCAAGGTATGGAGAAGGGGGTGGAGCTTCCATGCCCTCCCCAGATGCACCAGTCCCTGCACATCTCCACAAATCTCGCGTTCATCAACCTGGAAGCTTTCCAAACCCCCATCCTTAAAGGGTTTTTATGGTGGCTTCATTACCTAGTGGTAGTAATTAAATCCTTGGCCACTGGAGGTCCAGGGGTGGGAATGAAAGTTCCAACCCTTTTATCAAGAGGTTGGTTCCCCTGGCAACCAGTCCCATCCTTAGGTGACCTGAGTGGGGGGCTTTCCAAAAGTCACCTCATTAACATAACAAAAGGCACCTTTATTCCTCTTATCACTTAGGAAATTCTCAGGGTTTTAAAAGTTCTGTGCCAGGAACCGAGGAAGGCCAAATATCTACTTCTCATTATAAATCACAATATCACAAGTCAAATACAGAAAAAGAAACATTCTCAGAGTTTGAGGAACTGGGTGAACCAGGATGGTGAATGGATTTGGGGGCAGGAGGTGGGTTTGGTGTTGGACAAGACAAGTGGGGGGGATGTGTCAATGAAGAAATATTGCCTGCTATATCAGTAAGCAA